GGGTGTAGTTGAATATTAATTGAAAAGCTACGTCCGCTAATGCCGATCGCAATACTTCAAATACGTTCAAATGATGTAGTATCCATAGATGTAGAAGGCGGCATGTGGCGACGTACTTTTCTATTGTCATTATCGATTCGTTACAATTCCTTGTAGATTGGAAGTGGTATCGATATATTTTTATATGTATATGCGGTTTTTGTTTCAGTCATATTGACTTTTTGTTGAAAGACGCGTAATTGGCTTGGCATTAGTTTTGTATACTTGAATTTGAGTAGATTAACCTGCACTTATCGAGCGGATAGTGTGACTTAACTAATTGCAACTCTAGAATCAACGCGTTGTTGATAAGATGCATGAAGATCTCACGGAATCGGACTACCAACTTTTTCTTAGTCATAAATATTTTGGTTTTAATTTGAAATTTTCTTAAAAACGCGTCGATGTGGTTTTGGTTTATGTATATTAAATACTGTTGTAACAAACTATTCAATAGAGTGAAAATATTATTTACGAATAGAGGCAATAACGTTAACATCATTAAAACGTATGTTCTCCAAATTATGAATAAAATATTTTTGGAAGATTCGTTAGGTCTTATTTCAAATTCTGAGAAGAGCTTGATATATGTATATAGCTTAGAGTGTGTGATTCTGAAGCGGGAAAATGTTTTTTCAAATATAAAAAGTGAGGCCATTTCGACCTGAACTTTGTATACAATAACAACATTTTTTTTATCATATAAAAGTTTGTTTTAATTTTCTTTGTGTTTGATTATCCAAAACTTACTTACATGTAAATTAAATACGTGGCTGAAATTAAAGGCGTGTTCAACACCAATTATAATTTGGTTTTGAATAAAAGTGTTGGACTAAAGCAACCTTAAAGCAACGTTAAAATAATGATTGTTTAGGTTAACCGGAGTTGGTGAACAGACTTCCCAAGAAAGCAAATTGAACAAAATTTTGTAACTTATTAAAGCCGAGGCAATTTTATGACTAAAATATATGCTTTACGATATTAAGTCGTTAACTGTATTTCAAATTCCAACTTCAACTTCATTCCTAAAAACAAAATAAAATCGGTGGAAATCCAGTTAGGTTAAATATGCATGGCCTTATGCCATCACTTGGTTCATTTGATAGATTATTTCATAATGCCACGCCCGTATAAACCTTTGTACAAAACTGAGATAGTCGATTCTCATACGTTTCGCTTGCGGCGAGTTTTCATCAAAGACAAGAACATATTGCTCTGAGAATTTTGAAGAATTTGGTTCTTCCATTACACCAATTCGTTTTACAAAGCTGATGAGGGGTAAAAAAGTCCTTAAAAATATTCAAATATTAAAACACCAAAGCATACTTACATTTTAATCTATTTAACATCGCTTTATTGTGACTATAAATCAATTTTATCGCATTATCGCGCTCCTTTGCAATTTTGTGCGAACTATTAACGCTTGTGTAATTAATTCTTATTGTAAATTATCGATCAAACTGGTTTATTTGGAAAACACTTTTTTTTTTCTAGATATAGTTATCGGTTACTGACCAATAAACTAATAAATCAGTAAAAATGCAGACAAAGCGATTATTTAGTACTTTAGTTTAGCATTTTTATTGATACAGGTACTTATCGCAATTATGTTCTTTCAATTCCAATAAATCCTTAAGTAAGTAAGTGTGTATGAATGTATGAAAGATTTGATAAACACTGATTGTTGTCATTAAGCCATCTTAAAAAGACACTCCTGCGGCGCGGTGGTGGCCGAAAGGGTGGCATGAAGCGCATTTATGCACAGAAAAAAGTCGAGCGACACACTAACCTGCTGCCGCGCCGCTCTTCAACATTTCCGTTTGCACTTAGAGCGATAGACAATGTAAACAACATGACTTGGCAATGTTCGACGGCGCGTTGTGGCTGTTCTCACTTCTGTACTGTTGCTGCTACTGTGTCGCTGCTGTGGCGGCGTTTACTAACTGTATTATTGTTTGCCGTATGTAAGAGATGTTCAGCGCTTTTTTTGGCTGCTGTCTGCTGCAATATTAGCAATTGTGGAAAGTTAATTTGATTGAAGCCTTTTACATTCACCCGCTGGTCACGACCCCTTTGCGAAGAAACGCGCTAATTTACACCCGTGAAAATGTGTGTGTGCGTGTATCCTCGATGCTGACGATTGCCAGCTATATCTTTCAGTGCTTTTATAATCATGCCGCTAAAAATTTCTTCAGCGCCGATATCTTGATCCAATCACCTCGTTCTTTAGCGGCAGAACAGCCATCCACCGACTTGTAATTCTGTAGTTTTATTTGCTCTTATCGTGTATTGGATAGATGGGATTTCAGTTTCGTTTCCACGTGCGTAAGCACAACATAAACCTATAACGTAAGAATGCCGGCTTCGGCACGAGCACTGCCCTCCCTTACTTGTTTCTTATTATTCTTCTGAAAATACATATCTTGTAGTGGACTGTGTTTATGGTTTTGTATATACGTAAGTCGGTGGAGCGATATGGTTTATTTGTTACTGATTGTTTTTAAACCTGTGCCGGAATTATTTCAAAAATTCATTCTGTTAATCGTCGTTAGTGGATTTGGATGTGTAACTCTCCAAAGTGACTACATAATAACAAGTTAAAGCGAACTCGGTGCGCACGTTAACACTTGGCGTGAAAGTTGCGATTTGTCTCAATAAAAAACACAAGTGGATAAATAAAGAGTGCAATGCATCATTGATAAAAGGGTCGTGTAAGGAGGATTGAAAAACAACACAAAGCAAATTTTAAGCATAAATAAAAAACCTCTGGGCAAAAATGACGGAGGAAAATGGTAAATTGAAAATCACTTAATCAAAATTAACCAAGTGATCCAGTTTCAAACGAAATCATTTACAAATTTTGAGATACAGAAACGCAGCTGAAATGTAAACATTGAATTCATTTATCAGACACTGCTCATTCGGGTTTAAATGGTTAAAATAACAAATTTCTGAATAACTTGTTATTACAACCAAAGCGCAGTAATTCACCCACATTCATACTGTAGGAGGAGAAACTTGAAGGATTGGTTCTCAGCAAATTTTGTTGAGATATGTACATTGAGTAGCTTGTGAGATATGAATACTAAATACATTATGGAGTCACTTTCAGAAAATTTTTAAATTATCGATGAACCTCCTTTACATTAATATTATCTGATTTAAAAATTTGAACTCTGTTTTTACGTTTAGAAGTTAAAAAAAACTTTCATAATTTGGAAAGAAGCTAAAATTACTTTTTCGAAAATATGTTTTTTCTTAGTAGGAATCCTCCTTTAAAATAAGGTCAAAATAATAATACAGAATTTTATAAACATTTTCTATATTATCAACAAACTCTACAACTATTAGAGCCTATAATATAATATATCTTTTGTGAGTTGCGAAGGAGTGTTCATAGTATTTGAAAAGAAAGATACGTTTGCACAGTCAATTGGTAAAAAACCTCTTTGGGCTCGATTAATATTGGTTCGCTATTTTAGATACAGTTTAGAACCATTGCGAGTATTCTTCGGGAAAAAGTAGCTTTAAATAAATGGAAATGAGTTTTTCATAAAGGTAAACAATTTGAGTTAAAAATGTAAAATATATTTCAACTTTACGTAATCATAAAGAATTAAATAAAGACTGTTTAAATATACAAGAAACTAGTTTTGCAATAAAAAAGAATAGTGTTAATCTGCCCTGGAATGATTAGCCATTCTACGGATCGTGTACATACATATATATATATTTTTTAATTTTTTTTTGTACGAAAACATATACTACTGTGATCAAATTGAAAGGTGAATTTTTATACCCTGGGTATATTAAGTTTGTCACGAAGTTCGTAACACCCAGAAGTAAGACTCGGAGACCCTATTAAGTATATATATAAATTATCAGACTGTTGAGATGAGTCGATTTATCCATTGGAATCAAGTTCTTCAATGGAAAACTTTCATATTTGACATTGTATCTTCACAAAATTTGGCACAGGTTATTTTCTAAGATAATAATGTAATATACGAACAAATTGTTCAGATCGGTTTACTATAGCATATAGCTTCTTTACAAATTGAACGATCGGAATCTAGTGCAGGTATGGAAAACTTTTGCATTTGACAAGAAATATTCACGAAATTTTGTATAGATTATTTTCTAAAGTAACAATGTAATCTCCGAAGAAACTGTTCAGAACGACTCACTATAGTATATAGCTACCATACAAACGATCTTCGATTTTTACGAATTTATTGAGCAAAGAAGTGCGATAATGCACCATCGCATGAAATCTCACGAAAATACAGCAATAATTTTCTCCTTCGTGCAATATTATAAACTTATGTATATAACAAAGTTATAAACAAAATAGTTAATCTTAATCTAAACTTCTTATTTGTACATATTTGCAGATAATAAACCCAACGATGCCGTTGCCCAAGGCACGGAACCAGAAAGAGCTGGATATGGAAAATCGGCGACCGATGAAATTCATGAGCTTACAACAATTGGCGATAATTCACTGGCGAATCCGATTGAACTTAACACTGGCCCAGCTGATAAGAAAATTACTGCTTCGGGCAATGGCGGTAGCTTCCATGCTTCCAATGTTTCTGAAGCAGAGGGACAAGTTCAGGTGAATTTCATGGCACATAGGGAAGGGGCTCTCGATTAACCTTGTTACTTACATGAACGACGAATATAAGTTAAAGTTCAAAAGAGGGACTTGAAAGCTTATGAATATATATACCAAATATCTGGTTTTAATTTCCTTTAATTGAAATGGTCTTTACGACGATCTAATGCAAGCAGCCTCACTTAGCTCTATAATTTGCTGGAAACTGGAACACAATCTTTATTGCTAATTGGTTATCTTGCTAACTTACCGTCATCCTATATTCTCAACTCCTTACCCTCAATTAGAAAAATTCGACATCGAACGATCCTGAAAATGTGGCTATTTGAGTTATCGGTAATACTACTGAGACTGGGCCCAGTGTTGATAGTAAATGTATACTCTAATGAGGTCAGAAATTCAAAAATTCAATGGTTGTCAAAAAAGTCCTGCCGTTCATGTCCGATTCCATTACATACGTTGATATGAAGGAAATTAAAAAATAATTCGATTTATTTTCAGAAACTACCTTTTCCGAAATCAATATTCTTTATCATTGGTTATGAGCTTTGCAGAGGTTTCCATTCCTATGGATTGCGAAGTAAGTGTCGAGCTATCTTCTTTTAGTACTGTTATGCACTTTCTGATTGGGCAATCCTTCCTTTTTTCCATTTACGTGCAGCCATTCTGGTGTTGTATCTGAGTCGGCAGCTTGATTATGACGATGACACCACTACCGTTATATTCCATGTCTACTCTATGATTGGATACTTCCTGTGCGTCTTTGGTGCCATTATCTCGGATAGTTGGCTTGGTAAATTCAAAACGATCTTTTATCTTTCGTTCATCTATGTTGCTGGTTCAGCGTTGGTTACTCTTGGTGCGGTGCCACCGTTGAATTTGCCTGCTACGACATTTACCATGGTCGGTTTGGGATTAATGTCTTTGGGTTCGGGTCTCGTAAAACCATCCATCTCCGCTTTTGGTGGTGATCAGTTTAAATTACCCGAACAAGTGAAGCAAATGACCACCTTTTTCTCAATGTACTACTTTGTAGTCAATGCTGGTTCATTGATTTCGATTACAGCAACACCAATATTACGCGATGATGTACACTGTTTCGGCGAAAAGGACTGCTATTCGCTGGCTTTTGGCTTACCAGCTTCATTTGTGGTTATCTCGATAGGCGAGTATTTAATTTATAATTGCAATTATTTCTACTAAAATATGAGTTGTAGTTGTCTTCGCGTTGGGGCGTCCCCTTTACAAGAACAAACCACCGGCAGGAAATATGGTCGTGTTAGTCAGCAAAACCATTGGTGTAAGTTCACTCCAAATATCTAATGAAGTTAGGAAAATATTATTTTGATATACTTACATTCTTTAGAACGCAATTGCTACCAAATGGCGTGAGAAGAAGACCAATCCTCGTGAACACTGGTTGGACTATGCCGATAAGAAATATGACCGTCAATTAATCGAAGATGTCAAAGTGTTGATGCGTGTTCTTGTACTCTATTTGCCCTTACCCGTTTTTTGGGCGCTTTTCGATCAGCAGGGTTCACGTTGGACCATTCAGGCAACGCGTATGGATGGCGATATGGGCTCATGGAATATAAAACCTGATCAAATGCAACTGATAAATCCTTTCTTAATTCTGGCTTTCATTCCGCTTTATGAACTCGCTTTCTACCCTCTGCTTGCTTTCGTCGGCATTCGTCGTCCATTGCAAAAGTTAACACTAGGTGGCATTTTTGCGGGCATAGCTTTCATTGTTTCCGGTCTTGTGGAGCTAAGCCTTGAGGTAATTGAGGTTATGTTAGTAAATACTTTATCTCAATGAAATATATTTCTATAGGACACCTATCCCATTCTGCCAACAGCTGGAAATGCGCAGCTTCGTGTCTACAATGGCGAAAACTGTAACTATGCCATCACCTCTAATTTGACCGATTTAAATTTCGACATTGCTTCGCTCGACATGTTTGTGAACCGCAGCATCAATATTGACTCGACGAATCATTTGTATGTCGAATTTGAGTTCACCGAGAAAGCCGGTCTAAACTGCTTTGCATTTCCAAAGCAGACCTTTGTTTTCGATACAACAACAGCACATTATTTGTTTTTGAATTCGAAAAACACCACACATCCGTTAATATGGGGGAAAGACACTATAAGTAAACCCAGTCGCGGTTATCCGTTTGTACGTACTTTAGCAAACGTTCAGGCAGGTCGGCAAATTGAGTGGAGAACTAAGAAAGGCTCCATCGAGCACACAGAACCCGCCAATTTGCGCAACGAAACCGAGCTGAAGTCTGGCGGTTATGAAATTTTCGTTGATAACACACTAGCTGCCGCCGAGTATCTCAAAGTTGGTGGCAGATACACAGTTATAATAAACGAAGAAACGACTGGTGTTTATAAAAGTAATGTTGTAATTGTAACGGAACCAAATTCGATGTCTATTTTCTGGTTAATTCCTCAATACGTAATTATGACACTCGGCGAGGTTATGTTCTCTGTGACTGGCCTAGAGTTTTCATACGCGCAAGCTCCAGTGTCAATGAAGTCGGTACTGCAAGCATGTTGGCTACTTACAGTTGCCTTCGGTAATGTGATCGTCGTGATTATCGCCGAACTGAAACTTTTCGATTCACAAGCCGACGAATTCTTCCTCTTCTCTGGTATTATGTTCGTCGATATGATCATCTTCATGTTTGTTGCCTATCGGTACAAACCAAATAATCCCAACTCACAAAGCGAAGCCGAGCCATTGACGCCGGCGGAAACTAACGAGAAGGTCGGCATTGACAGTGTGGCTAAAAGTATTGGCGAGTAGGCTGAATATCTTTACGTTGAATCGTAGAAGTAAATATGTAATTTAATGTTAATATGAGTATTAGTTTTAGACTTGGTGAGTTTATAATTTACGGCATAGGTAGTAAATATATTATAACAATAGTCGTAATCAATAACAACAAAAACAGTGCAAATAAAAATACGTTGGAAATCCCAATAACTTAGAAACTTTGTACTTATTTTTAATAGGGCTGAGGAGCTTAAGAGAAGTATGATCGGTTTTGACATATAGTTGAATTATGGAAGGAAATTTGAATGAAATTTGACACCTATTAGCAATTCAAGGAATCGAGTAATGATGAATTTCGACTTATAGAAGTTCAACTCTATTTCTCTAAAAATCACTTAAATAAACAAGCCAGCATATGTAGCCCCGCTTTTCGTGTGTTTCGGAGAAATATCCGATGTTTGTTTTGATTTTGTTCACCAAAACGGCCAACATTCACTCAAGACCGTGGGTTAAAATAGCTCATGAGCAAGTTTCATTGCCTTTTTAGCGATGACTACAGTAAAAGGAAATATAAGGAAGAGTATTGGTGCGGCCTGTGCGAAAAAGTTCATTCAAATGAGAAATGAGTTCAGCGCTGCTGCGATTGTTTAAAGGCGAGAAGTCTTCTTCTTGTCATGGGTGGTGCCGCACAGAAGCCATAAGTTCTGTAAGCGCGATGATGACTATGGTATTAACAATTTGTACTTACTCGCAATTGGATTCTCATATTATATTCTAATCACACAATTTTCTCAGAGCTCTCCATGGAATTTAAGCTTATCGCAGATTAATGCCGCAAGTTTCTGAACTTTGCTCGCGTGCACATGTGCATGTGTTTCTATATATGCATTAAAATTGGCAATTAAATGATCAATTTACTGATAATCTTGCAAAAGTATTATAAAAGTATTAGAAGCGCCGTAGGAACGGGCTGTGCAAATCGATTCCTGATTCTGACTCACGATTTTACGACTTGGAATATTTAGTGAATTATTACAGAATGTGACTAATTGCGGTAACAATTAAATATTTGAGACTGCTTTGTTTCATATATTAGAGGGATTTTTTAAATTTATGACACCGTATCGATTACACATACTAATATAATGTTATGTTTAGTATAAATAAAGGGTAATCCATCTCGAGGTTTCTTACTTTTTTAAAGAAAAAACAGAGAAACTTCAATTTCAATGGGGAATCTTTATTATGATTCGAAAGAACATTCTTTGACAGTTATATTTTGAAGATTATCTCTTAGAAATGTTGGCCGCACCAAACCGTTTTTTTTTTGTTTGGATAAAATGGCAACTTATATCTCAAATTGCCCTTCGTCTCAAATGCCGCAAAGTTGCTTATTTACATACTCATTGAGCCAGAAATGAGCCTCATCCCTGAATAAAATTTGGTTCGAAAATGTCGGATATTCTTGCAATTTTTCAAGAGCCCATAGAACGAATTGATACCGCTTGGGAAGGTATTTTACACGCTTTCTATTTAAGATCTGTACGTAAAATACGCCAAGTCATTCCATACATCAGTCCGAGTTGCTGCGAACGGCGCCGAAAGGACTTTTCACGGTCTTCGTATATACTCTCAGCTATATAAGTGTGGTATATTTTCTTCACTCTGTGCTGGAGGTGGTGTATTCGGTCGAATATTACCCAATAATGAATGCTGGGTCTCAAGATGGGTGATGGTGTTGCAAATTGAATGCTCAGTAAGCCGATTATGTTATGTTATAGGCGTAAGTCTTTCTACGATGAAATGCGACACAATACTGAACAAAAATAACATGACAGCATGGCACGACTCACGCGCGATCTATCAAAATGGCCATTAAAAAAAGTACTTATACTAGGCTTCTAAATGTATTAAACCAAAACTGGGCGATATAGTTTTAAGATCCAAACTGCAGTGCTTTCAAAACTTTTGTTGAAAGTAGTGCAGGTGAAACAAAAATGATTGTACATTAAGCTACAATTTCTGGTTGAATTGAGAGGTACGTATATATGTTGAATTAATGTCAATAAATATGATTTTTGACAAATTAAAGGGGTAAATATCAAAATATTTTGAAAAACTATAAAATCATTCTATTAATTAACAAGAAAAAACGTTAACTTCGGCTGCACCGAAGGTAATATACCCTTCACAGGTGCATTTCTTTTAGTAACTATGTTCGTATATATACAAACAGACAGACGGACATACTTACCTAAATCGACTCAACTCAACACACTGATCATTTATATATATACCTTATAGGGTCTCCGACGCTTCCTTCTGGGCGTTACAAATTTCGTGGCAAATTTACCCAGTTCAGTATAAAAACGTTTCAATTCTTGAAAACCTGGGTGAATTCTGTTAAACATAGTTAAAAGAAACAAAACTTCGTCCACATTTTCCTGAATATCTTTTCTAATCAATTAGCTACATATGAACATAAGTGATCACATGCAAATATCTATAAGAAATTGTGTTTGTACAAATGAAAGTAGAAATGCATTTCCAGTATTTCGAATTTCCACTCATATCGGTATTCGTCTAAAAATAATTATTTCAAGAATTTCTAAGCAATGCATTGTTGTCGTCTTATCTGCTAAGGAAGCGCATCCCAGTGCAACACTCGACAAACGTTTTCATATAAAACTGCAAACATGTATATGTGTATGTATGTATATGTGATACATGGGACATCGACGAGTCTAGATGAATTAATTTCTAGACACGATCAATGACACTGCCAATTAGCATTGAGTGATAAGTGGAATTGATTGTTTGCATGAAAAGAAATAATTAGAGAAACACAAAATCTTAATTGCAACCGCACTAAACGGCAGTTTTCAATATATTTGCGCATTTCAGTACTCACCAATTGGTGGAGCTCCTTGAAGCAGGAATAGATGCTTTGGCTGCTCAGATCTTCAGCTTCGCTTACGCTGCAGTTGCCTTCAAAACATCGGGGCGTGAACACGCCGGGACCTGCACAAATAAAGACCACACATGGCGAAGGACAGATATTACCTATTACTACTGGAGCTTACCATAACTGCGCCTGGAAGTGCGCCCGGTTCTCTGTACGCCGCTCGATGTGCTAGAACGCTCGCCCCGAACACAGGCACAGC